GAAGGTGATGGAGGAGGAGGGGATGGAGAAGGAGGAGGAGGAAGAGGCAGGAGAAGATGGAGATGGAGGAGGAGGAGGAGGCCATGAAGAAGAAGGTGATGGAGGAGAAGGAAGAAGAAGGAGGGGGAGGATGAAGAAGAAGGTGATGGAGGAGGAGGTGGTGATGGAGGAGGAGGAGATGAAGAAGAAGGTGATGGAGGAGGAGGGGATGGAGAAGGAGGAGGAGGAAGAGGGAGGAGAAGATGGAGATGGAGGAGGAGGAGGAGGCCATGAAGAAGAAGGTGATGGAGGAGAAGGAAGAAGGAGGAGGAGGAGGGGGATGAAGAAGAAGGGGGTGATGATGATGTTGGTGACGATGATGAGAAATGAACGGGGGCAAGAGTGATCCGCGGAGCAAGTATACAACCTGCGTTCCTTTCTCCTCTCTCCCTCCTCTAGCTACGTGGTGAACATTGGCTTAATAGAGAAGCTGAGCTGCTGCTTCCTCTCTATCCAAGGCCCGATTGACGAAACCCCCAAAACGGCGGCCTTCTTGCAGAGCTGCACCGCCGCCCTGCATGGGATGTGTCAGCTGTGCTTCGCTGTCAATGGCAGGCAAGTGTGGCGGCCGTCGTTTTTGCCGGTCTCTTTATCAGGCGACGCTGCACCTTTGGCAAGCCCCAGGGGTCCTGGGTCCTAAACCCGAAACTCTCGACCCCTTTAAGCCACTGCAAAAATATCTGCCTTGAAAAAAATACGTCTGGAATGACAGGTTGGAAGAGACAAGAGGCCTCCCAGTGTCAACTCCTGAAATATTTCTACGGCCTTTTTAGAGTCGCCAACAGGAAGGGAGTGGGGGAAAAGGGGTTTGAAAGAGCAGTGCGGCAGCTTGGAAATCGAAAGCGCATGCCATGCATAGTTTTCAAAGATAGCAACTAGGTGGCTGAAGTTTCTGCCACGCAAAATTCTAACTGGAGAGCATGACTGATGACTCTGGGCTAGGGATGTGTCCCATTGGAGAATATGAATTGGGACATTCCCCCAGGGGGTGGGGGAAAACCAGGGTCAAGGGTGACCATGAATGGTGTGTCTCAAGAGTCAGCTACACCTCGGTTGTACTGGCATATTAACTCCCAATAAATCCTGTTTAGTTTTGGAAGTTTGGCTCGAGACTCAGGATTGAAATGGGGGGGAACTGCTGGAACCCCGGCAGGTGCTTCGGCCCCAGGCAGCCTGGTCAAGACAGAAATGATAGGGAACAAAGACCCCAGACCAGCCCTTTTTGGGCAACCTTGGCAGCTATAAGATGGGTGGACTTCAACTACCAGAATTCCCCAGCCAGCCTCAAGAATGGTTGAAGTCAGAAGCCGGCCGGGAAAGTCACAAACGTTGATCACATCACACACACACACCAGGACTTTGCAAACATGATAAATATATGCCAGTTGCCAAACGCCCGGATTTTGGCGGTATGAATGCTGCAGGTTCAATCTTGTTTCCTTGCTGTATTTTTTTTTTTTTAATGACATCACAACCTGACCGCCCATCAGCGACAGTGCTTGGAGGGTGAGACGGAGCAGCGTATAAATTCAATCAATCAATAAAAATGCAAGTGACCTCGTGCTCTTTCCTTTGGTCAGGTCCGGCTTTAGCATCTTCGCCGGGACCCACCAGGATCCCACCGGGCTGACAGCGGCTTTCAAGGCCACGGATCTGGTGGGCGTTTTGCACATGCTCTACTGCGTTCTCTTCCACGGCACCCTAGTGGAACCCAGCGCGGCCAACCCGAAGGAGAGCTTCGCGGCGAACACCCTGAAAGTCGCTCTCCAGAGTTTGCGCTTCTTCAATAGTTTTGCTGTGCTGGATCTCTCCGCCTTCCAGGTAAGGTTTGTCCTGAGAAGCGCAAACTGGGGTTTCAGTTCTCTTCTCCGTTTTTTGTGTGCGTGTGACGATTCTGCGCTGCCTCTTCTAACCGACTGGCAAAGCGCGGCCCACTCTGGTTCTGGAGATCCACAACGGCTGGCCAGGGTTTTAGCTGAGCCACACAATCCCCTCATTTTATAATGCCTCGGTAAGGCCATACTTGGAATACTGCATCCACTTTTGGTCGCCACGATGTAAAAAAGACGTTGAGACTCTGGAAACAGTTCAGAGAAGAGCAACCCAGAGGATTAGGGGATTGGAGGCTCAAACATACGAAGAAAAGTTGCAGGAAGTGGGTATATCTAGTTTAATGAAAAGAAGGAACAGGGGGAGACATGATATCAGTGTCCCAATGTCTCAGGGGCTGCCCCAAAGAAGAGGGAGTCAAGCTATTCTCCAAAGCACCTGAGAACAGGACAAGAAGCAATGGGTGGAAACTAATCAAGGAGAGAAGCAACTTAGAACTAAGGAGAAATTTCCTCCACAGTTAGAACAATTAATCAATGGAGGAACAACTTGCCTCCAGAAGTTGTAAATGCTAGAAGTTTTTTAAGAAGAGACTGGACAACCCTTTGTCTGAAGTGGTGCAGGGTTTCCTGCCTAAGCTGGGGGTTGGACTAGAAGACCTCCAAGGCCCCTTCCAACTCTTATTCTATTATATTCACTTCCACAAACCTCAGCTGTGATCTGAATCAAATCAGATGCTGAAGAAGAAAAAAAAGGTTATAAAATCAGATCCAGTCACTTGGTGATCCACTTTACTAACAGTCTAAATTACCACGTTCCATTAGAGTTGTCAGTCCCCCTGGAGTTCAGAAGAGTTGCTTTCTTCAAAAACCATTTGATTTTCCAATTGGAAGGACCTCCTCTTCTCTTTTTCTCTCCGGAGGCACTGATCCAGTTGTGGATGTTCCCCTCGCCCGTTTCTCAAAAGATGCCGGTTTTATTTTCAACTTCCTCAAAGAGCATCTCGCCTTTCTTCCTGTTCAGCGATCGGTCGCTTTCCCTCCCTCTTCGTTATTTTACTTTAAAAAGTCTTGGTGGTGCATTTACGGTCCGAAATGCTCCAAGCATGCATGCAAGTGCGCACACACACACACACACAAAAGTAGTTCGACGGGAAAACAAAATTTCAGTGGCAACTTTTCTCAGGATAGCAATCCATTTATCTTGAGTGTCTAAACAGTGGGACGGTGTCAGGGAGAAGCTGGGCAGGGTACTGAAACCGCCATTCAAAGGGGCTGCGGAGGGAATGGTGCCGTTTCCCCGGAGGAGGAGGAGGAGGAGGAGGAGGAGGAGGAGGAGAAGAAGAAAATAAAAAGAATGTTAATGTTTATATACAATCTTTGGTGCCCCAGGGCCGCTTGTTATCGGAGGAGGCTATAAACACCAGAGCCCATCGATCGGAGGGCCTGTTGGGAAAAAGGAACTCTGTCCAAGGAGAAACGTTTACACGTCCATCCCCACTAGTCAATGATCGGGGAGGGGCAGAGGGCACAGCATTTCCTCCCCACCCCACCACCCTTGCGAAGGGCATCGTGGCACGGCTGCGCCCGGCCTTTCAGTAGATTTCAGTTGGGCTGTGGGCAGCTTCGTGGCATCTTGGAGGCGCGGGCCAAAAATGAGTCTAAACAACGAAGGGCCGCTTTCTCCTCGCCTGGCTTGGAAGCTAAACAGACGACATAAAAGGTTTAAAAAACTAAAAAAAGAGGAGGAAGGAAGGAAGAAAAAAACAATGCCAACTTAGACACCCACCCTAGGAAGAAAAGTTAGGCTGATGAGAGAGGAGAGTTTGGGAACTTCTCGCTTCTTCTCCTTCTGCTTCTCCTTCACTCTTCCTCCTCCTCCCTCATTCTTCTTCTCCTCCTCCTCCTCCTCCTCTTCCTTATCTTCCTCCTCCTTTTCCTTCTCCTCTTCCTTCTCTTTCTCCTCCTCGACTTCCTCCTTCTCCTCATCTTCCTCCTCCTTGTCCTCCTCTTCCTCTTCCTCCTCCCCCTCTTCTGTTTCCTCTTCCTCCTCTTCTTCCTTGTCTTCCTCCTCCTCTTCCGTTTCTTCTTCCTCCTCCTCC